GCTCAAAAGAGAGTATATTGGCTTTTTAGTTTTTAGTATGCTTCTTCATAATCGCTGGGTTCTTTGTATGTGTGACAACATTTGGCTTTTGCTTTTATTGCTATTTTGATGTTCGTTCAGGAAGTTACTAAGAGAGCGTATTGATTTAGGCTTGATACTTCTTTTCAATCTGTTTGTTAATTTGCATTTAAGGACTTGAAGTCTTCTATAGTCGGGCATGACTGCTTTATATGAAACCGACCTATGTTCTGCCCAGCCTATCGTCTGTATTTTAGAGACAAAACCTCATTCAAATTGTTTGGTTTTTTTTTAAATTATTTATTTATTCGTACATATCTCTTTCGCCCCTCTTCTAAGTAACCCCATTTCATTCCTCGAAACCATGCATAAAACCATTATTTTAAGATCTCGCTAATATATGTTCTTTGACTTTGCGCTAAGATTATCAAGCTCTGCATCAATGTTGATCTGCGATTATATTATGATATTATGTGGTGCTTCGGAAAGCAAAGATTATATATTGCATTAGTCTGTATTTGAGAACGTGAATGAGTTTAGCAGCCAGGTAAACTCAGCCGCAATAGCTTACTATTTATTTTCTTTCTTATTTTTGTTGCTATCCACTCGATAGCTGCCAGGTTAACTGATCCAATGAATGACACATATACATATATATATAAATGTTTTTTTTTTTTTTTTTGTATGTTTGTTAACGAACCTCATCTTCCGACACGGAAGGCGACGCCAGACGCAACTGCTGTTAATTTCGCAAACTTTTTTTTCCTATTTATTTTTATTTATTTATTTATTTTTTTTTGCTTTAAATTTGTCGCAGCGAAATTTTGCTGTTAGCCAAATTTCAATGTCAGTGGCACTCGCATCTCATGTGCATATTAATGGCTTTATTTAATTGCTTCAATCCATTTAAATTGCATTTAAGTAAGTCTTTGTGACAAATATAAACGCTTATAATATAGGTAATCTTATCAAGTCTAATTGTTCAACTGAGTTTACGTATGCTAGCCTACTCCACATTCGCTGTATATAGTTTTCACACATACATACATATCTGCTAATTGGTTAGCTTAATGAAGGTGAATATGCTAATAGATATTACTCATAGCCTTGTTGTTTTGGATTTGTTTATTTATTGATTTTTTTGTGGGGAAATTGGAAAAAATATATGAGAAATTAGTTTCTTGAAAGATCATTTCAGGAAAATTGAAAAAGTAAAACTTTGAATAAATAATAGAAAGCGAAAGTCAAGTTAAATTAGAATTGTAAACCCTTGAAATGCATATGAATATCCTGAAACTTCTTATAAAGAGGGAAAAACTAAGGAAATTTTAGAGAGAAGTTTAGAAATTAGCTCGAGAGAAATTCAAAGCGGAATAGAATTTGAAGGGAAATTCCCTTTGCATATCCCTAAAGACAGAATGAAGCTCCTTAAAATATTTACCTAAACCGAAATATGGAATGAACCGCAAAGAAATTCCCAGCGAATCATCCAAGGATTTCTGAAAAAAAAAACAAAGCAATTTAATAAACAAACAAAAATAGGCTTGATCCATTTGAAATCTATCTCTTCATATAAAGACATCATAATTGTCTTGTTTAATTGCCTGCTATTGACAAACGTTTTCATTAATAAATCGACGATATAAATGTTGTTTATTTTTGTATGTTCATTGCGGTTTGTTTACAATTTTCGTATGTGTCCATTGCAATTGTTGTTATTGAACATGAAACAAAATGTCATCGAACTGTTGAGCGACTGTTGTTGTTGTTATTTGGCTCTCCAATATGGATTGCGTGTCTGCCTTTCATATTTTCAATATACCAACGAACTACGAGTATACTATATAAAGATACATATATGTATAAATACGTTTTAATTCAATTTTCTGTTTCTCTCGATTCATGTTGCGCTGTTTGGTATTCAAAAACGTTGATGACGTTTCGAAGTGCTCGAAGTTAACAGACAGCAATTCAATAGAATAAGAAAAAAAAAAATTAATAAAAAGAAAAGAGAGAAAAAAAACAGTCAACAGTCAATTGTTTAAATAAATTTGTCAGCCATAGCAGAAGATACCCAAGTCAGCGGGCAATGCTCGGCAAGGAGGTCAAATATAATGTTTTATGTATTTTATATTAAATCCATGCATATTTTAAGCAATTTAAATTTGCATTGGGGTAATTTTCACGTTGATTAATAAATTAAGTGGAAATAGCACAGGAAGTTTGGAAAAAGTGAAATAACTAAAAAATAAACAAGTTAGAATGCCGGAGAGGAAGTGCACGACTAGGAAATACCCCGAGTTTTAAACTGTAAATGCTTTACCAGCTAACTAGTCAGCTTAACTTTAGTTAAGCTCTTAGCCAAGCATAAAGATGAAGAGGTAAACGAAGTTTACTAACTTTGCTCTTATATTTCTGTACATTCCTATACATAGAAAGGACTAGACCAACATAGCTCTTGCTGTCTTCATTAAGATAGAGTAAAGCTAAAGAGCATTGTCATCTTGTCTCTTTGACAAAGCTCTTTAGTCTTCACTTATCTTGGTCACTTGTCTCTTATAATCTTGACCACATCTCTAGATATATGATTCGGCTTATATATTGCAATATACATACCTTACTCTACTTCAATTCACACCTCCCTCTGTCTGCTTCATATAGTGTAATACAATCAGTATATACCCTCTAGAGAATTCTTGAATGAGTACGGAGCAATTGAACTGAAAAATTAGCTTGTCGCATTAGACGATAGTAAAGCTAATTAAAAGACTCAACTCATTGATTTCATGAGCTTGTCGAATTGAATAGAGCTGTCTAATTTGTCGATTGTCTGAATGTTACAGTTGCAATGCATTTCTGTGTTCGTGTGTGTGCATGTTTTTTGTATTTTTATTTAAGTTTATGTTTGCTATTTTATTTATTCGAGGCTTAGAGCAGTATTTGCATTAGGTTTTGGCATTTAATTCGCTTTTATTTTGTTTATTGCTTTCCTGATGACCTTTTCACGATTTCCGATAATATTGTAAGGTAATGGGTTTATATGTTAACTAACTGTATATTTAAAATCAATTTAACTACTGTTATGAGTCATAAATTCCGAATACATGCTGCAGCATTACTCACATAACTGTATTGTAGAGAAGTTATGTAATTTATTCTAGGGATGTTTTATAATTAAAGTTACTAATATATAACAAGTGTTGAAGCATTAGTTGACGTAATGCAATTGAAATGTATATTAAGTGAACTAAATTATTATTTATTAAATCTCTGACATTTAGTTAGTTCAGACTTTACGATGTGCACATACATAGTTCACTAAACCATGGAGTACTTGTTATATCAGAGGTTTCATCGATATTTCTAATAATAAATTATTAATTTCTATAAAAAGTATCGATGGTTTTGTAATAAATGTATAATTTTGTGAGCTTCAGTACCAAGTTTAGGCAAAGTGTGTTTTTATTTTCGTGACTTTTGATCGATAGTATCGATAAACATTATGTAATTGATCAACTTGAAAATGAAAGCTATTAACTATCTTGTCGAAAGCCAAACAGATAGCTGATCTCTTATAAATATAATATATTATTTGAAATAACGACACCCGAGCAGAAAAAGTTATCGATATAAAGCTTAGTGAAATTTTGAGTTGATGGAGTTTTAGCAAAGATTTATAGATTTATATTTTCTTTATAGTATTTATAATTATATTTTAATATATTCATACCTAATTTATAATCGATTGAAACTGAAAACTATCAGTTGATTAATACATTGATACCCCCGACTAATCTTATCTTTGCTTCTTTTTCTTATTTTTAGGTAAGTAAAAGATAACTTTTTGAATACAATCAGTAAATGGAGATCTGTAGCACTTTTGATGACGCATATTTATAAATGGGTAACTAAAGCAATCTGATACGTACTTTATGCGACACTTATTGCAATTAGGCTTGTGAAAAGCCTATATTTTTAATATATTTAATTTACATCTACATAAATAAATCTATATATTTATTTATAAATCCACAAATCTACCATAAATTTTGTAGCAAACGTGCATCAATTTAATATGCTCGAGACGGACTAAGCACGAGCTTTATTTTTGTATTCTTTAGCATTCTTTAACAATTACGAGTTCAATAGCGTTCACAAGAACTCAACAGTTGGCATTTAAAGCGCATAATTTGAATTTAAACGTATTGTTTTATTTATTATATTGTTTTTCCATTTTGTTGCTGCTTTAGACTCTGACAAAATGTCAAGCAACAAATGAGCGCAACAAGTTAATTATATTAAGCTGATCTTTACAATCAAACGCACTTTATGACTAATTACACACGTAAATGAAGCTCGTTTATCTTGTCAGCACCTGTGTTAAGAGAGCGACAGAGCGAGACAGCGAGACAGTGAGAGAAGGAGAGAGCACAGAACAAAGACAGAGAGCAAAAGGCTACGGACAAAGAGAGTTGATTTTTGTTGTTTTGCTGTTGCTATCTCTTTCTGTTTGGAGAAGAGCAAGGCAGCAAAAAAAACTGTTAAATCAGCTGTTGCAGCTTGGACAAATCTTGCAGAGAGCGTGACCATTGCGGAGTCAGCGTCTTCAGCTTGCTGCAAAGCTCTTGTCGTATAAGAGAAGAAAAGAGCGCACTTATACACACGCACACAGTCAAAGCTGGGCTCAAATGGCGCTCGAAGCGCACATAGTTATACACTTACACTTATACTGCCTGTGAGTGTGTGTGTGTGTGTGTAAGACGTACCGCTGCGTCGTTTTCGTGCGGTTTAAAACCTTTCTATAAAAATTTCATAAACGTATCAGTTGTCTGCGAAGCGGTGCACAAAACAGACGTCGAACGGAAGGTGGCAAAACGATATTTAAGAGAATCAATAAATATTTATATATCAAGTCCAATACAACAACAAAAAAATATAAAGTGTGTTTATCAAGCATAAAATTTATATGTATATATGCGGGTATATATATAGGAAATTCAATTCAATTCAAATCAATTTGCAAAAATCGCGCTACATAAAAAAAAAACTTTGTTGCACGCGTGCGCGGCATGTTGGCATACTTATAGCTGCAACTGTTTTTCTTTGTTCAACAGTGGCTCTAAATAACGTTCGTCTCTCTATATCTATACGTATGTGTCAAATATATATGTGAGTGTGTGTGCGGTGTGTGTGTGTGTGTGCTGGTGTGCATAAGTGCACTTACATTGTGATATGGAGCAACAGCAGCACGCGTCTTAGCAACATTTCTTAGCTTAGCTACATGTTGCTACAACATACATACGATCAAAAGGTAGAGATGAAATCTTCACTGCAAGCAACAACAACAACAACAGCAACAGCAGCAACAACTACAAGAGTGTTTATTATAGTTGTTTGTTGTTGCTTGTTGATTATTGTTGTTGTTGTTGCTTGTTTATTTGTTTGTTTGTTGTTGTTGTTATCTGTTTTGACAAGTTGTGCAGAACTTTCTATTTTCTTTGCTGTTTCGTGCTGTGCTTTTTATAGCTATAGAGCTTAACTTATTCCGATACAAAACTAGACATACAAATATATACATACATACATATATATAAGTATCTTTGCTCGTTAGAATTTCAATGAATGAATTTCATAAGAAATTTTGTTGTTGTACGTCAACAGTTGCCTGTTGAGCATAATTTGTAGCTGATTAAGTTGGTTCTACATTTACGTAATGCCCAAAAAATTTTTGCTTAAATAGGTCTATTGAACGCGCTGCATATACATCCTCTAACTTTATCTGGGACTATGTGCTTAAATGTGCATATTTTGTGGCCAGTTTTTGTAGGTTTTTGCAGCAGCTCGAGTTGCCTGCAAAAACACATTTCCATAGAGGAAAAAACCTCTCGACGGGCGATATAAGTGCCTTAGTTAATGACACTGTCCACATGTCGATTATATACATACGTACACATATATGTATGTTTATATAGTACCATAGTTTACTCGACTTTTCGAATTGGTTTAGCTTATTATTTTATATATATACTTGTTTTTTTTTTTTTGCTTTGCTGCTAAGCTATTATCAATTTTGAACTTACGTGACTTGAACAAATTGCATTATTTTGCACATACATGCCTACATATACATATATACAAATACATATACATATAAGACATACATATGCTGGCATCTTGGTATAGTTTATAGCGGGCTCCACACTTTGGTTTCCATGTCTCTTGCTGCGTTTTTTTTTTTATATTTTATTTTCTTTCTACTTTTATAATTCTTGGACGTCATTTAAGCGCGTTTTCTCTTATCGCTATTCAAGCGACATGTGACGACGGTTTTTTTTTTTTTTTTTTTGAAGCTATGATTTTCAGACACTTTATGGAAGTTGAAGAGTTTTATATATGTATATGTGTATATAGAAACAAAATAGGAAACTTTTCACTGTCATAAATAAAGTGTGAAAACTAATGGGGAATGTAAGTAATTAAAATATTTGTAGAAATTAAAAATGAAATATAAAATAGGCAATATATAATGGCATATATATTAAAGAGGTCTCTTATTGAAATTAAGTTGAAAATATAATAGTAACAGTATTGTAAAATACTTGCAAAATATTCTGCACATTTATAAAATATTACTATAAATGGAATTTATAGAGCGGCTACAGTTAAATAGATATCTTGAGATTAAAGGAAGTTTTATATCTGCATATGTGGCTATCTGTACTTAGGCTCTCTCTCTCTTTCGCTCTCTCTCTCTCTCTCTCTCTCTCTCTCTCTCTCTCTCTCTCTCTCTCTCTCTCAAGCTCTCTCTCACTCTATCTATAATGAGATCTCTAACTTTTTGATATCTCTCTTTCTCTCCCTCTCTACGTCTGTGTGGGTCTATTGTTGTCTAAATATTTTTGCATTCTGTCTTCCTCTCTCTCTCTCTCTCTCTCTCTCTCGCTCATACCTCCACATTTCTGTCCCTAACAATCTTTATTCAACATTCCCTACTACATCTTTTGCTAGGGTATATCTTAGTTGAGTTTTTTATCTGCTGTCAACACATTTGATGTGTTTTGATTTTACGCCGTGTGCTGCACAATATGTACGAATATTCCCACACACTCCTGTTACTATCTTTATTTTGTGGCTGTTTTCTGTAGACATTTTGCGTCACAGTTGGCGTGTGGCGGCTGCTGCTGCTGCTGCTGCTGTTGTCTCTTCTCTTTGAGCCATAAATTTCCTGTCCATGACTCATACGCTCGTCAGTCAGTCGACGGCCGTCAGCAGCAAAATGATTAAGATACAGATACAAACGCACTCACAGATACACAGACACATACACATACACATGCAGCATTACAAATACATATACCACATGCATTTTACTTGAAAATACATGAAAATTGTTTACAAAAGGGCGCAAAGGGTAAAAAAATAAAATGCAAGTAAATGAAATAAAAACGGAGTTCTTCAGAGCAAAACAAAGACAGCGAAAAAGCAGTTCAATTGTTGTTGTTGTTGTGGTCTCTTGTCTGTCGAACTGTCAGGTTTTATCTGTGAACAGTAAATGTTATACAGCTTTTTTACAGTTAAGTCAAGAGAACAAGAGAGCAGCCTGAGTTGAAACAGAACTTAATGCAAAAACAATAAGGTCGTTGTAATATGTTATAAACAATTTCAGTTATACAAGTTGTGACAGAAAGCAATTGAGGTAATTCTTAAAGAAAATCAATGAAATCAATAAAGAAAAAATATATAAATAATAATGATAAATGGAAACCTGTTAAAAGTTTAAATTCATTTTCTCTTATTTTAAAAGAGTTATTTTTAAAGGTGATATATTTGCTTTAAGGAATACAGACCTTATATGAAAGCCTTCAATTTGTTATATATGTATAAATAGATATTAATAAAAAGCTGATTCGAATGTTCTTAAAATATACAGTTTGATTTGTTTTATAAATGATTTACATATCTAATGAAAAATTCATCAACTTCCTGTCTAGAGCTAGACATGTATCTATAGATATATGAGTTAAATATATATATTCAGCATACTTATATGTGCCTTAATTTCTAAAGAAATTTAGCTAAACATGAATTTATTCTTGGTAGCAATCAAATCTTAAGCTCCTTTTCATATGACGAAAATTTTTGGGTATCGCTAGTCAACGCTTAATCATATGCATTATATGTAGATGCGTGACCTTAGCACTTAATGCATTCACTTGCTTATGAAAAAAAAAACTCCAAATTGGCAGTTATATGAAATAAAAAATTTGTACGAATTTTGAGCGATGGAAATTTCCCACAATGACGTACACTTCTTGGAATTTAATACCAAGAAATATAAAGTTGTGCGCGTTGTTTTTTCTTTGGGGGTATTTCATGCTTAAAGTCCACAAATCGAAACTGGTTGTCGAAGGAGCTTCACTCTCATTTTTTTAACGTACATACTTCAGGCAAAACACACAGCTTTCGATCTTCTTTCGATACCCTAAAATTGATGGGAACTGGGTATGACGTATAGCTTAAAGCAGGTAGAAGTTTTTAGATTCCTAAAAACATCACTGGATCAAAATATGTTTAAGAGCTAAAGACTTAAATGAAGGATTCTTGTGCGAACCACTCAAAGTCAACTTTGCTTTATTGATTATCGATAAGTGCCATAAAATAGATTTTGAGCTTCCGCATGTGAGCAAAGTTTGCATGTTGTAAAGCTTCACTTGGGCATCTTGGTAAGCAGATTCTTTTGTAGCTTTGTCTATGCTCTTAGCAAGCTCTTTTTCTATTCGAGTTTTCTTCCTAAGACTTCTTCCATATAAGGAAATCTCCTTTGCCTATTTCTTATATAGTTTCTCCCCATGTGCTCTAGCGTATCTTCTAGTCGAGCACTCCCCACTAGAGCACTCTTGTTTTCTGGCTTCGCTTCATTTTGGAATTTCTGTTGTTGTTATTTTTGGGAAGTTATTTAAGCTCTAGCCTGAACAGTTTCCAGGCGATTTACACTAATTACATCCGAGGCTGTTCAAAAATTGAGTTTTTTTTTGCGCTGGGTGCGCGCTTTTCGGGGGCTGCTGAACTCTTCGTTTCCAAAGTTATTTGGCGCTACTAAATTTAGTCGACGCTCTCGTTACCATTGTGCAATGACCCAAATCAAAGCCAAGCTTATTTTTTGTCTGTTTTTTGCCTACTTTTAGTTGTTGTTGTTGTGTGAGCCAACCAAAGTATTTTTTTTTTTTATTTTTATTTTTTGTTTTGACCATTTTTAAACTTGGTTTTAATTTGCACATAAAATGGAAGCTGCGCTCTGGGCTGTATTTTGTTTTTGTGTGGAGAAAGTATGTGTGTGCTCGTATATTAAAGTTTTAGTTCGAATTGCCATGTCTGTCCCGCCTTAAATTAGTTGATTATTAATAATTTGGCGTGTGTGTGTGTGTGTGTGGGGTGTGGCGACGGCGCATTTCATAATTTGCCTGGCAACAAATGCTTGGCAACAATGTTGCGGCCAGCAAAACGTTTGACAGCATTGTTGCTAACCAAACAGCCAAACGCTTGACTAATCTGCACACACACAGAGGCACATGCTGAGCCAAAGACAATGAGCAAAAATGGAAAATACAAACCGGTTCAAATTGGGTCGTAGTACTTTTGAGTGCAATTGTTACCTTTGAGCAGCAGCAGCAGCAGCAAAAACACTTTAACAATGGTTAACACTTCACTCATTATGCCTGGGTTATTATGTTGGTCTTGTTTCAGTTTTCTTGGCACGCGCTCCAAAACCAGCCGAGAGTCAAGCTGAACAACAAAACTCAATTTTTTTCTTTATTTTTTTTTTTTGCACCGCCTACACCTTGATTTTGTAATGTATTTCGAATTCGGTTAGCATAGGTGTCAGTCTTGCAGAAGTCTCGGTGGGGGCGTGGCAGGGCTACTGCCTTCCGCTGCTAACCTTGCTAGTTCTAATGCCACAAGCTTTGGCATTCCATTGACAAAACGTCGCTAAACCTAGAAACCAAAATCGTTTATTAAACATCTATTAGCAAGCATTTCAGTTTTTGCATACTCACAGTTCGACTGACTAATACTAAAGTTAGCCTTCCGATTCGTGACTTTTTTTTTTGCATAGAAAATTGAATTTAATTTATTAATTTTTTTTGTTGAGAAGTGCATAACTGCGACTTTATTTTGCTTTTGTTTTTAATTTTAATAAAACAAAGCTTGACTATTGCTTGGGACAAAATTCAGCTAATTAATATATGGTTTATGAATATATTCATAAACATATATCTTTTCTTATCTACAACCACTTTCGTCGGTGGTTCTGGTCGGACAGGTTTTACGCGTGCTTTTATATACGCGTTATATGGGATTTTTTTTTTCTTTTCCTAATTGTTGCTTTTGTTTTGAAGCACAGCTGTTTTGTTTTTCTCTTGAAATGAAACAAAATACTCATGTGACTATAATGTGTTATTATACGCTATGAAATGAAGTCTTAAGATGGGTTTCAATAGCAGCTCATATCGATTATTTTAGAGTTTACATTAAAAAGTGAAACGAAAAGAGAAAATTTAATATGTTCGATATTTTAAACAATAATCCATTTATCGATGTTTGATAAATTTATATATAAATCATAGACTAACTTTATAAACTGGGTCATCTGCACTACACTAAGCCCACTGGGCTATCAATCACGTTTCATAATCGATAAATAATGGCCCACTATTAAGCAAACTAATCAAAAGTTTTATACACTAGAAGTCATAGTTAGTAAATTGTTCAAATTTATCAATCAAAATAATGGGTAAACAAGTGTCTCAGCTTAGAACAAATTGATTTATTATTAGATAAAAATGATTTACATTTAGATAAATTGCAAAAACTATTCATCAAAGTTTGGTGACAGCAAATTCACAATAGAAAAATCTTGAAAAAAGTTATAAAAATAATATAGTTAAAGAATTTGTCAGATCTGAAAAGATTTATCAGTATTTTAACCTTTTATTTATAAATTTTTTTTTTTATGTTACAGCATTTAAAATGTTTACATGTTGTATAAGATGTTGGAGAAAGATCAAGATAGAATGCAAATTTAATTAATCGTTTAAGAACCGCTCTATCTAACTCGGTCATCTTAAGCTGTCTCGGCATCTCGTAATAGAAATTCTTTATAGCTTATTTAAGTGCATAATGAAGTGGTTTTTGAAGATTATTTAGATAAAGGTAGAGTTCACACATCAAAGGGCAACGCCATTTAGATGTAATGTAAGCTGGAATTGTCTGGAGAGAAAGATATTGTTAGGGATTGTCTGGGAAGAGACAGGGAAAGAGAAAGAGAGATGGGATCTACGTAAACTTTAAATATGCTACGATATATTGATGGCTTAAATTATGCACTGAACATATCTTAAGAGGAATATATGATAGATATAGATACTTTATATAGAAATTAGCAGACTTTTAGATAAAATGTCAAACTGGGCATGTCGTAAAGGCAAAATGCTTTAAAATTTTGTCTTAATCACCTGATGCCCTATAGAAGTTTTTTTCTCTACATAAAATAAAATTACTTTATACAAACAATTATTTTTTTTTGCAAATTTAGTTAGCTTTTTGCATTTTTAAATTATGCATATTGAATGTTGAATCTTAAGCCGTCTCTCAACTTATGGCTATATATGTACATAAACAAAAGAATTAAATTCGAAACGCCTTGATGCAGTTTCTGTCTCTCTCTCTCTCTCTCTCTCTCGCTTTTTGTATTGTTTGCTGTTTTCGATTTCTTTTGTGGCCTGACATTGACATTTGCTGATGCTGTTGTAGGTGATATTGCTGCTGTTGTAGCTATAGTTGCTGCTGTGGCTGTTATTGCTGTAGTTGCTGCTTCTGATGCTGTAGCTAGATATAGCAGCTGCTGTAGCTGTTGCAGTTACTGCTGCTGTAGCTAATATTGCTGTTCCTGCTCCTGCTGTTGCTGCATCTGTTGCCGATGTTGCTGCTGTGGTAGCAGAAATCGTCACAGTTGCTGCTGTAGATGATATTGCTCCTTTTAAAGCAAAAGTTGCTGCTGTAGCAGTAAATATTGCTGCTGTTGAGGTAGCCAGTGCTGCTGCTGCTGCTTCTGCTGCCTCCACAGTTCCCATTGTTGTTGTTGTCGGCTGTCGGCTGTCGCTTGTTGTTGTTGTTTTTTATGATCATCGACTTTCGTTCGTTTATTGTCTTTTGTGTGTAACTAAAGCCATTTGTCTCCAGTCTGTCTCGCAGGATGTTCACTTCAATGCTTGCCTAGGCTGTTCGCTTCTGAGCATCTGTAAATCGCTTTTCGTCTCAAGTGCCCGCCTCTTTTCAGTACCGCCCCTGCCCCCCAATCTGGGGCTGTTTGCTTTGTCGGCATGTTGTTGTCAGTTAGTCAGTCACCGTAAACTTGAACTGCTCTGCGACTGCTGCTGTCCAAGTTGTTTCCATTTCCATTTGCGGCAATGCAGCCTTGAAGTCACACTTATTTACATACTCACACACACACATACACACACACGCAGTCGCACGCACACATGCGTACTCTCATGCACTTACATGGCATAAAAAAAAAAGTTCATTGGTCAGCTAATGAAGCCCACCTTCAGTTGCTATTGTTGTTGTTGTTGTTGCTGTTGTTGTGGTTATTGGCCGCATTAAGCTACGTCTCCGTCATAATTGTTACCAATTATTTCAAGCTCAAACAGCCCACTACCAAAAAAAAAAAAACAAAATAATAATAATTAAATAATCTGAATAAAAAACTTCATAAATTTTCATGGAATTTTACCAAAAGTTGTCGCTCGTCTCGAGACGTTCATAAATCTTTGGACCACAAAATCTTAAAATCATATTTGCTTAGTTATAAATTCTTGTTGGCAACATTTAAGAACTTTTAGCCATTATAATCGTAAATAAGCTTATAAAACTTGTTTGTACAGCTGTCCAAATGCATAGTTCGTAATATGTAGAAATCAAATACTCGAACCATCTTTCAACTGGTACCAAATTCTATATACACCATGTAGATATTATTTGTGTCTTTGACTAATTGCCACAGCTAACATGTGGTCAATTATAAACAATTCTACAGAATTCTGCGATAAATAACATTGTATGTTATATAAATAACTCATTTTTTGTTTAGCTCAATTCATTGGAAAACCTATTTTTCTTGCTGTTTCTTCGTCAAATTCCTCTTCCATGTTGATGTTGCTTGAAGTGCTGTATGTTCAGGTTGAATAGCAAAAGTCGTAAGTGCAGTTGCCAATATTCTTACTTTGTTGAGCAGCCTGAAAAACCTGAAATATCATTCGATTCCTTTATCAGCTGCCTAAAATGTTCCAAGTACTTTGATATCTGTTTATATTACATGTAATGAGCTCTTTAGCAATAACATTTATTTGACATTTGGCGGAGTAACATTTCTAACTTAACATATGTTCTGCCAAAGCTGTAAACAGGGTTGCAGGCGCTCGAAACTATCTGTTTATGTTATCTTACATGGTCATGTATTGTTGCACTTAGGTTCCTTGAGAAAACAATGAACCTTTACAATTTCTTTTATCTTTCAACATTTTCTGTTGTCTCATGCACTTGTTTTATAATTAGCATATGTTTAACTAAACAGTTTACACATTTTTCTTCTCTTCTTCCAACAGTTTCTGTTATAGATAAAGCTTAACAGTCGATTCAAACTTTTTTAGTCTTTTTTTTTCCCTTTTTCTCAAATTGTTTTTGAATGAATTTAGCTTTTGCGATTGACCAAGTCAAATCATCAAATATATACATATATATTCACTATAAATTGCTACATTTTATGGCAACGTTCAATTCCATCACATGCAAATCGCATAAAGCATTCCAAAAGTTGACAAGAGCGCCATCATTTTGAATGGCATCCACACGACGCAAAAATTTGTTATTGTTTTTTATTTACTTGATTTTGCTTCTATTTGTTTTATATTTGCCAAACCGTATGAAATACAAAATAGATACACAAAATGCTGTCATTAACTGTGAAATGTACTCGTTTAGCTTGTAGATTCGCTGCAATTGCTTTTGTTTCATTTTTCAAGGTTGTCGCTTTCTCATAATCTCTCTTATACTCTCTTTCCCTAGCTCTTGAACTAACTTAACTTAACTGAGAATGGATTGAAAGGCTTAGAAGCGTCTTTTTCGTACTTTATTTTATCAGTAGATGAACTAAGCCATTTGCATGCCCTGTAGGCTCGTAGCAATACTCAATGGGGTATATTGTTAATCGCAGTGTGATTGATTCAGATGTCAAAAGTTTAGATAAGGACAAAAGAACATAGTTTAAGAACTTAAACGATTGAATAACTTATATATATTTTGGCAAAAGTATGTAATTTATTATATTAGATTGATGCTCGCAAAATGGAATATCTTAGATCGAAATTTTTAATAAAAATCAAAACAAAATATTGACAAATTCATGTGATGTATGAAACAAACTCTGGTTATTCTTATGCTAAACCAAGTTAAGTTTAAAGCTAAAGCAAAATGAAAAACTTTACTTAGCGAATTTTAGAACTTACCGACTTGCCTAATAATCAAAAAGTTGAGTATGTTTTAAAGGAAAAAAACAGTATTACCTTCAGCAATTGACATATTTATGGAAATAATTTAATACTCATAGAGTATCTCATTGTACGATTCTAGAACTTGTATATTTTAATACCCAATAATAAAGTAGAGTAATTAGGTTTCTGCTTATGAATATGCAAGAGCGGAAAATGTTTTTAAAACGAAACTAAAATTTGCAAATAGGAAATCGAAAATTGGAAACAGTCAACAGTAAATTTCAAACTGAAAACAGTGTAAACAAGTAAAAGCACTTGGGCGCAGTACGAAACAATTGTGTAGGAAAAAACACCGTAAAGTTCAAAGAAAGTTAAACAACAACAACAGCAACAACAACAAAGGAAAGAAAATGAAAATGGGTGTTTTTTTCTTACATATATATTAAAGTGTTTAATTTTCTTTTTCTAACAGTTTGTTGCCCGCTCGCTCGCACAGTCTCCGGCAAAAAAAGGGAGATTGACAAAACACTTTGTGCCGAGCGTCGTACATTGAACTACTGTTATTGTGTTGTAGGTATTGGTATTGGTGTTGTGGTTGTGTAATCCGAGCAAGATGACCACCATGCCCGTGGTCTGGTGCACCGATCCCAATTCGGTGAACAACAAGCCAACGGCCTTTGCCCTGCATGGCATACAGCTGCAGGGCAATGTGACCGAGAAGCAGGTGAATGCATTGCGCGAGCTGGTGAATGCAGCGGCCGAGGGACGCCTCATACTGCCCTCGGACGGTACGTTTATGCTGCTGGACAGCGGCCTCAGTATCGAGAGCTCCATATTGGCGGGCAGCAAGCAGACGGCGAACGAGGGCAGCCAGGTGGATGCGCCCAAGAATGCCAAGAATACGTATATATTGATGCCGGTGAGCAATAAGAGTGCAACAGCAGAAGGAATTGCTACAGCAGCAGCAGCAGGAGGTGGAGGAGGAGGAGGAGGCGGCGGAGGTGTACCAGCTACAACAGTTGCTGGCAATGCACAATGCACGCCGGCTGCGATTGCAGCGGCAGCAGCCCAATTGGAATTCCTTTTGGAGCCAAAATATTCGACATTATCGTCGCCGCCCCCCAGCACGACGCCCAGTTCACAGACGGCGGACAATGAGACATCCGATGAGATATTGTACGAGTTTCTCTGCTGTGCCAAGTGCATGAACGAGCAGCGTACGATCGGACATAACGGCACTTGTGGCAATCGGCGCTTGCAGCGATTCCTTAGGCATTGCAACAACAATGGGGGCAGCAACAGCGGCAGCAGCATCAGCAATGAGCAACAACAGTTCAATGAACCTCTGATTGATCTAGATCCTGTGTGCAGCATTGCCAGCAAATATGCAAGACGTCAACAGCAGCTGCGTCACAAACAGCTGTCGACCATCTCGATGGGCATTGCACGTAATCATCGGTCCAATGGTCGTCATCATGGCAAATTACCCATGCACAGTGTGAAAATCTTTCATAATCGCAGCAGTTACACTACGCTCAACGGCGCGTGCACCATGAGCGTGGGCGTGGCGGCAACGACGACAACGTCGACGACGACGACGGCAATTCCCAGTGATAGTCGGCTAACGACAGCAACGGCAACAGCAATAGCAATGCCAGCCAGAGTTGAATCGGGCAGTTTAACGGTGACAGCGGCGCTGTCAACAACACAACTGCCCAGCGTAACGCCGCTCTATGCGATTGTGAGCAAAAAGCGTGACGCGAACTATGAAAAGAACAACAGCAACAACAGCAGTAACAGCAACAACAACAACACTAATAATTTCAACAACATTATGTTAGCTGCCGTGCCAGAGGAGCCCAGCGTTAGCGCTACGGTTAAAGATCTAATCAGTTTTGAGGATGACGATGTTGTTGTTGAACAACAAACAAATGACAATTTAGCCAATAGAGCAACAACAACAACAGCAACAACGACGACGGCGACAACAACAATAGCAACAGCAACAACTACTAATGCTAACAGCAACTGTGATAATCAAGTGGATTTACTGTGCGGACCCAACGATGTTGCCGAGGATGGCAATCTGTTGTCGCTTTCGCTGCTCGTTACGCCGCCACCAACACCGCCCAAGCCAAGTTCGCCCGGCTCAAATAATTCGAGTCGCAAGACCAGCTTTGATTCTACCTGCACGATTAGCTCACTGGACTCGGGCTTTATGGAAATGCAAAACAAATTGGATGCACTGGCAGCAGCAGCAGCTGTAGCAGCAGCAACAACATCGGGCGAGAAGATAGCCAGACGCAACTATAAGGAATGCCTGACGCAGTCGCGCAATCGTCGCAAATCCTATGAAGAGTTTAAGGCCATGTTTGCTGAGGCGGCACAGCCGGAAGCGTTGGCGCGACTCACGCGGCGACGCAGCGGCGCAATGCAGGAGCAACTGCAGCAGCAGCAGCAGCAACAAGCGGGTGCTGAGGCGGCTGAGCTGCTCGTGGCGACAGATGACGCAACGTCAACAGCAGCAGCAGCAGCAGCAGGAACAACAGCAGCAACAACAACAGCAACAACTACTACAAACAGCAGCAACACTGTGATGACAATGCTCGCCTCAATATCAGAACAAGAAACCACAAGCAACAGCAACAACAACAAGAACAGCAAACCGGATTCTGAAAACGAGTTTGCGGATGAAATGGATACCGGCGACGATCTAACAACAACAACAACAACAAAAGTTGTTACCGCTGCCGCCACCACAGAAGCAATGCGCAAGAATTCAGATTTTCTATCGCAAATACTTGATCAACAATTGGCGGCCAAGGAGGAGCAGCGTGCCAAAGCGCACAAGCGACGCACATCGTACGAGGAGTTCAAGCGACTTGTGCGCGAAATTGATGCCAGCAGCAGCGACATGGAGCAGCAAACGCTGGAATGTCAGCAACAGCAACAGCAGCTGGACACACCCACAACAACAGCAAAGGCGGCAACAACATCGTCGTTTAAGCGACAGAATTCGCGTCAGCGTAAAAGTTTTGCCTCCTACTTTTTGCCGCGACGCCACTCGGCAACCAAAGAGCCAAAGACTGAGCAAATTGAGCTGGTGGAGCCCGAGCAACAGCAACAATTGCCACAGCAGCAGCAGCAGCAACAGTTGCAAGCATATGCCAAAATGGCCAGCAGGAATAACAGTTGCAGCTCCAGCGTCAGCTCCAGTGCCACATATAAGCGTAATTTTAAAATCTATGATAAGCTAGTGTACGGCACCATCTACGATATAATACAGCGTAAGAACGATATCTATCAGTTGACCTATCAGAAGTACGATAAGTACATGACCTACGGCACCATCTATGAGATATTGCACCGCAAAGCGACACCGATGCAGGGCAGCAGCTCGCTGACGACGGGCAGCGGCGACAAGTGGCAGCGCAAGAGTTTGAGCGCAATACTAGAAGGCAACGCGACGGCGGCAGCAGCAGCAGCAGCCACTGCGCCGGCAACAACAGCTGCCACAGCAACAGCAATGGAAATGCATAAATCAAATGATGTGATTTATGATATAATACAAAAGCAGCAGCAAAAGCGCGAAAAGGAACGCCAGCAGCAGCAGCAACAATTGTTGCAACAGGATGCAGCAGCAGCAGCAGCAGCCACTGAAACAACAACGGACAGCAGCACGAATTTGGGCACGCATGTCACGCACAAATATGGCACAATTTATGACATCCTACAAGGAGAGAAATTGGAAACCAGCGAGGAGGCAAGCAACAGCAACAGCAGCAGCGGCGGCAGCAACACAAAACCAGTTGTTGCTGCCACATCGCGTTTTGTGGTCAGCCATGTGGATGAACAACAGCAGCAGCAACAGCAGCAGCAAGACAGCAACAACAGCAGAAATGTGACTGCCGACACGAAATGCAGTAAAATGCGACGCTTGTCCAATATTCTAAGCTACAACAAATCAGGCAACAACAATGCTGCGCCACAGGAGGCCGACAGCAACAGTGAACAGCAGCAGCAGCAGCAACAACAGCAACAACAATTGGTGCCTGCTAAACGCAGTCAGGCCAAACGTCGCGTTGGTGTTAGCAATTTGTTGCTGCCGCTTGACTCGGAGGAGCTTTATACGCGCATCATAGCGCAGCAGCGACGCAATGCTGGCAACAATTGCAACGGCAACAGCAACAGCAGCAGCAACAACAACAGCTCTGGCAGCGATGCCGATTGTCACATGTCGCTTATCAAATCAAATTCTCTGGATGCCATTTCCATGTCTGTGGCCATATCGCCGCCTGCCACGCCCTCGCCACCGCGCCCACGCCGCAGTCTCAAGCAGCACAAATGCCTGCAGCAGCAACAGCAACAACAGCAACAGCAACAGCAACTGTTGCTGCTGCCGCCCTTGATGAAGAAGCATTCGCTAGATAATTGCCCCACAGCGCCAAAGATGTTGCAGCCGCAGACGCGTCGCTGGTCGAATCAAACGCTGCTCAAATGCACCTGCCACACGCTCGAAGAGCCACGGCATTGCCATAGTAATAACAATAGCCATTGCACTTGCCCAACGCCTCCGCCGCCGCCGCCGCCTCTGCCTCTGCCTCTACCGGCGACCGCCTTCAATGCATTGTCTGTCATTGAGAAGTGCCGCTCGCTGCCCGCTGCCTGTTCGCATACGTGTGTTAATTTAATGGCCGCCGCTGCCGGTTGCGCCGATGCGGCGGCCAAGTCTAACAGCAAATCAACGGCAGCAGCAGCAGCAGCGGCAGCAACAACAACACAAACTACGACAACAACAACAGCAACAGCTACAACACAACTAACAGCGTTGACAATCAAGAAAGGCAAATCGCGTCGACTTTCGGAATTTACGCGTGGTGAATTTTTAAATGAAAAATCGTAAGTTTCGCCCTCCCTTGTCCCACCCCTCAAGCCACCATGCCCTCAGCCTACCCCACTCCCAACTGCCCGCTATACATTGTATATTGTATCTATTAACTTATGATTCGACTATTGACAATAACATTTTAATGCCATTTGCGGCTTTATAATAGGCTTTGCCTTGCCATTTCATTTCATTCATAACATATATATTGAATATAGTTTATAAAACATGCATAGGTATTTATATATCCCACATTCCAGAACTTGTAAACGGAGAATATTATCAAGTAATATGATATAGAAGTTTAATTACTTAAATATAGTAAGTTTTCATACTTTTATGGAGCAATTTGATATGGTAATCCTATTCCATATACAATTAATGGCTGATACGTTTCCTAGACCTATCCAATACAGAAATCCAATTCGTTTTTAGAGCTGCCTGATTTGTAGGTCATATCATGTTTTTACAGTAATATAATATAGATGTGAGATTCTATTTATAGGGATATATGATACGAAAGCTCGAAACGTTTTAATGGTGGTAATAGTTCTAGATATGTTAAAGAAGGAAACAGAAAAATATTACAAGAGATCTCAGAGAGAGAGAGAGAGAGAGAGAGAGAAAGAGAAAGAGAAACTTGTATATAGTCTGAGAGAGAGACAAAGAATACGGTTTTAAGAAAGAGACAGAAAGAGGTCGTAATATTCCATATCCAAAAAGGGCTCTAATGGACGTCTTACCTAATAGTCTATACTCTCAGGAGTACTTTTTTCAGAAATAAATACTGAACTGACGTCATTTCTAGTGCATTTGTACTTTAAATATTTTGCAAAATTTATTATGCAAAAAAAGCCGTCAAAGCCAATCCCGGGGCACTCCACTAAAAGTGCTAGATCCCAGACACAGCTGTCAGGTAATTTTGATTTTTTTTTTTTTTATATATTTGTTCAAAGTCGACAAATGTATGTGTAGGGCAAAAACGTATGCAAAACATTTTTGCAGTACATGATATGACTTTCATTCTATGGCAAATCAGTTGAAGATTGTGGAAACGGCTAAATGGAATGACTAATGATAATGCTATTGGCAATAACAAAGCACTTGACCATAGGCAAATAGTAGTAAATAAAGAGAAAAACCAATAATTGCAAAGTGGAAGCAATTATTAATGAATGACAAACGTCACACCCATAGTATAGAATCGTCTATGATGTTTGCTTTACAAGTAGGTGGGAAATATGCGAGTGACGAGGAAGAAAAACAAGTATGAATGCTGATGTCGGTTGGCTGAGACTGTGTAATACTCGTTCACACAGCGCCCTCAAGGGCCCTATATATAGATATATATATAGATATAGTATTTCCCAGCTACCAGTATTTGTTCCAAATTCGAATCTCTAGAAACTTCAGCAACTGCGAAATTTGCATTCATAGAGAGAGACGGTGTTCGGAAGGACGGACAGCTAGGCATTGCACAAAGCCAATATACTCTTCAGTTTGTCAGCGATAATCAAAACTATGCCAGTATGTCTCTATTTCTATTTGAGACTATTGCCTCGCTCTCCCTCTCTCTCCCTGTCTCTCTCTGTCTAGCTCTCTCGTTCCCTCCCTCTCTCTATCTCTCTTTCACTTTGCTGCGATCTTTCGCTTCCATGTTGTAATCGAGGTAAACGTCACGTCTTTATGTTATTAACCTGCCAATTATTTGACTATCAAAAATCAGTCAGGTACGCGTCAGCAGCTACTCCTCATTTTATACCTTGGGGTATTTGTAGTACCGTTTGTTGCTGTTCGTACACCTCCCGTCTTTTGAGCTGTTGCCATGCCCCCAAAAACAAAATAAAACAAAAAAGTCGTGACAATTTTCGAGACAGACTTTAATTAAGCGCTAAACAAACATGGCTCGACACATTTCAAATTTTGTTTTTCGATTTCTGAGTTTTATTTTTGGTTATTTTTTTTTTTTTGTTATTATTGCTGTTGTTGTTGCGGTTTTTGTCTAGTCGTGGTTTTGTGTCAAGTGTTACATTCGCTTCGTTTTCTTTGAGTTATCAGCAAGTTTGCATTTGTTTGTCCACCGTTCGCTCCTCGTCTTTTTTTCGGGTTTTCGCCAAACACGTGTACCACAAGTACACAAAAACAAACTTTGTATATGTCTTTTTTTTCTGTACAATTTCGTATTCAAATGCAAATTGAGGGACTGAACCAATTTGAAATGCTTTGGCCTTGAAGTTGACGTGAATTCAATTTGTTTGACAAGTGTTGGAGCAGCTTTGTATATGCATCATCTGAAAGATATATCTGCATAATAATGATAAATGCCAATGTGGGGCTGCTGTTGGCAAAGATTTCTGCAAAAGAATAGTTATAGATTTTTGAATGACAGATTGAATTAATGCAATTTAAACGAGGGCAAAGATGTGGAAGTGGACTTGGTATAGCGGAAAGTAGAGGAAATATAATTTGAGATTTTGCTATAAATACTATTTATTTGGAGCAACGCAACAAATAAGTTTATAATCTTTTACTGAATCACTCTTAAAGTTTAATCTCATCGATACTTGTCGATTTTTCACACACGTAAAACAGATTTCCATCTTTGATAAGCTAACAAGCCCCGCATAGTTACCCACTTGCCAAAATACCTTTTAAGAACTCTGAGCTTATGTATAAAATTATCGATATGTCTCGATTTATAACAATTCCCTAATCTTCTATTTTGGCTTTAAAATCCTTTGCCAGCTGCTCAACAATAGTCAAGGTTAGAGTATTAAAATTTCTGTACCTCTCGATCATATGTCTTACGCCAAGTATCAATTACTTTATGACTTCAGGCCACCCACGTTTTGACTTCTAGGTCGTAAATTAAAAAGACATTAGCGGCTAATTGCAAAGAATTTTGCTGTTGAGCATCGTAGATAGCCGAGTCACTTTTGCTGACAACTTTTTCGCAGTCATTCGCTCATCTACGTAAGCAACGCCAGTAATCGGGCTATACGTATATACATCTATATCTATTGTAGTTTTCTCTATGGGTTTCTTCTATATATCGAAACGGTTAATTTGCAGCGACTGCAAATTGTCGGGGTGTGGCTATAATGTCATTGTCTTGGCTCTGACTGTGCGTATGTGTGTGTGTGTGTGACTTAGTCGGCCAACCAAACTAAACGTTGTTACTGTAGCGCCCACTGCAGCCTATCATTAGCTTTCTAGATGGGGGTTATTATGCAAGTGAAGCACTAAATGCAACGTGCAGCACGTGGTTAATTCAATTCGATTCATTTGATATAAGGCAGTCATATATGTATATCTAATAGCTGACATTTATTTGCGAACTGCATTCAAGCGTTACTTTTTAATAGGTGTACTCATAGACAGCCCCTGGCCAAATTTGCATGAGCTTTTGGGCTTGAGATTGGGATTCGATTCACGATATTCGCCAAGGCAACTAGACGGCTTAGTCATGTTTCAGAGAACACTCTATTGAGTGTTTTTAATAGTCTTAGCCTGAAATGGTAGGCGAATAGGTATATGTATATAGAATAAAAGTGGGATTTTTATAGAGTTTGATGTGGTCTCAAATATAAAATTTATGAATTTCTATGTAATCAACATAAAAACCCAATGACCTAGAATATCTAGAGATTTTTACTCATATGATTCTTATAAACATTCCTTTAAGTTTATCGATTATCGATTAATAGTATTCAAAGAAACTTGAAGACTAGTTAAATATGGAAACTGAAAATACTCCAGTACAGTTATTAAAGGAAATTTCTCGACCAGATTAAAATTACTTAGAGAGATTTCCTAAAACTACTTCGAATGCCCAAAATTCCCACATGTTATCGATCGCTACCTTTTCGACTGAGTCTCTAGATCATTCTAAACGCAAACATATATACTCGTAAGAGCAATTGTAGAGTATCTGAACAATTAGCAAGCCTGATTACAAGTAATTGCCATTGTTTACAGTTGTTTACATGCACAGAACAATAAACTCAGATAGAGAGAGAGATATATTGCCGATAAACACAATAATAAACTCATGATTTCTGCTTTACCTTTCTATCTAACAAAACTAGACAATGCAATTGGCATTGAACTGCATGCAGCTTGGATCCGATTTCAAATGTGTATATATATATAGATATATACATACATATATATATTTGTTTATATGTATTTAAATTTAGATATTCACACAAATTGCTGTATAAAATATATTTTTGCTGACATTCTCCATAATATTCCAGCCAAATTATCACAGCTTCAATTGCATTTGCGTGTCGAGAGAAAGAGCGCGAACGAGAGAGGGAGAGAGAAGTCTTGTGTATTTTTATTTGCGATCTTATCTGGAAAGCGCATTTTTTGTTTAGCTGGTAACGCATTAGAAAATGTTCAGCAAATGTTGCACGTTGCACGTTGCCGGAACTTGATAATTTGCTTGGCGCTAGGCAGACGCCGACTCCGTCTCCAACTCCAACTCCGTCTACAGAGCTGAGTTGGCCTTTTACTTACAATGCATTTTATGGCCAATGGCCGTTTCTATTTGCACATTTTCACTGCTAAAATGGCAACGCGTGCAGCGAGCAGCGTGCAACGTGCAACATTGCTGAGCAGATTCTTAACAGCAAACGAGAAGAAAACAATTTTTATTTTTTGTTTCTTTGTTGCAAAAATAAAGTTTGTCCGTCGCATTAGCAGCAAATCGAAAGCCTGGCATTAACAAATTATTTCTGCATAAAATTGTGGCCATATATGTGCAACATGCAACAGGCAACATGGCCAGCATGGGAAACATGGCATGCTGTAAATGCCAGTTGGCTATTGGCTATTGGCTATTTTTAGCTGCTATTCCAGGCTCTCTTGGCCATTAAGTTCGTCCGTCCGGCCGTTCGTCCGTTCGTCTGCATTGATTTCAAATTTGTTTCGCACGAACTGCAATAGGCTTTAGCCACGCCCACAATCAGCCGCGCCTCCGGCTGTGTTCGGCCCCAACGTGCTGCTA